TTAAGGTGTCTTAAGATTATTTACTCAGTAACAGGGTCAATTGGTTAAAGATTTGAGCCATTTAACCGATTCTAGAGACTCAATACACTTAAAAGCTGCCTTTCCTATCATTATATCGGACCCATTGGCCAAGTGCATGAAGACTCCTATCCCTAATATGAAATGGAGAAAAAAGAAGACAAAAAAACCTTTGATGGGATATAAAAAGTGAAGACATAAGAGATAATGTGGGCGGCTCTTTGGGTCTTTAATACCTTCTATTTGAATGAACTAATACTCCGATGCATTTGCTTAAAGCCCATTAAATGCATTAGCTTATTAAAACATCGCTTTGTGGTACATGTGCAGATGGCGACACACTCACCAGACTTGTAATAAGGAGCAGATACTGCCTCCTCAACCACGATTTCCTCCTCCACCTTTACGTCACGTGGTGCCAGCAGGTAGATGAGTCCCCCCCACATGTTACACACCTGCATCCTCTCTGTTGTAACGGGGTACCTCTTGATCACATAGGGCGCTCTCCATAACTCCTCTTTATACAGCTCATCACTTTGACAGCCTATCTGGATCTTTAGATGAAACAGATCAGTTACAAATCTGTTCAAACCTGTGCAGGGTGGTGCTGCTCGTTAAAGTTTGATTTTCTTTTTCAGAAGTAAAGTAGATTAGGTTTAATTGATTAAGTGCCTTTAGGTTCAAAATGTGCCAATTGAATACTCTTCTTTGTTACATTCAAGAACATGTCGAGAACAGTTTTAATTTTTTTCTTTACCTTCCATCCAGTGTTAACAAGCTTTGGCGGTAAGATAATCTGTGTCTTCATGCCAGGAGAGAGGTACAGGCCTGTACTGATCCACTCCTCGTTTTCTGTCACACAGATAGAAGAGACATTTGGAAGCTGATACCTAGAAAACTGTCTGATAGTTAAAGGTGTGAGCTAACCTCCTGTTTGGGCCTGGATCTTGATGCTTTGGTTCTTGACCACAGGTACTGGATCGACCTTGATGATCTGTGGCAGAAGCTCCTCCTTGTTTAGAGAAGCCTCATAGACATCTGATGCCAGGCTGAGGAGCATGTGGTCTTTAGGACTCTTCACAGAGATCTTCTCACTCACCTGGAAGATAGTTTATACATATTTTTGAGTCTGGGGACTCCAAAGTGGTTTACACTACATTCAGTCAAGCAACGTTTTACTCACTGATGGTGGAATCTACGCTGTAACCACAGCTACGCTGGGCCCTCTGACCACCATCAGTGGGCAAAGCAGGTGTTTTTTCCAAGTAAACAAGAAACAGATGGACATAAATTATGTTATATACTGTATGCCTCATTATGACAGAGAAGTCATGAGATCAAATCCTGCTGCTAATGTTTTACTTTAATTTACAACCTTTGTCTAAAGCAGAGCTGAGCAGAGTCTAGGCTGGACTGAAACAAAGAACCCAACAATTCCCCATTCCTAAGGGGCGGATCCATTCGTCAGGTTCAATTTGCATGTTTTCTAAGCCAAAACAAGGCTTTGTTTTGGTCCAATCTATAAAACCTCGAACTCAACGCTATTTCTGACATTTTGAATTGAAAAAGCTTCCTGGACGGGAAACGAAACGTCTTCAAACTTGGAAAAAAAGTCCAGTGGATTGGTTTTTTTTACTTTTTTGGTTAGACTGATAGAAAGTTTTACATTATACAAAGAGTTTATCATATAGTTTGTCATTGTATTGATCAATAGCTAGAAAGTACATTTTACCCTGACAATAACTACTGGATCCATTAACCGGACTAAACAATGAAGCAAATATTGTCCTGTGGCCCATTTTGCATTTTATATTTTTGATGGGTCTAACAATGTAAGAAAGAAAAATAACTACAATTTTGCTTTCATTTGAAAGGCAAAGGTGAAAAAAAAACAATAGAAATCATCATTTAATCTTTGTTTTATCAAAATGCTAAATTTATGATTAAAAATAAAACTTGATAGGTGATAGGGTGATAGGGTTTATGCTCTTGCTTTTAATACATTGTGGGGCCCATTTTCAGGGAAAATGGCACGTTGTGGGAACTAACTGCTTATGTGGGGCCAAATGCCTTGACCACACATGGAGAATTGCTGTTTCTGGGTCATGAGTCACGATTAGGTCTAAGGTGTGAATTAAGTTTAGTTAGGGGTTAGGGTTAGGGTTAGGTATGAATAGGAAATGGTTACGGTAAGGGTCATGGTTAATTAACAGAAGTCAGAACAGTCCCTCAAAAACAGTGACACAAGTTTGGTTGTGTGTGTATGGTGGTGGTGGTGGGGGGAGTAAACTAAAAAACAAAACAAAAAACAGTAAGGGAGATAATGCATTTGATTTCATTTTTTTTTTTCCAATTTAATATATTTTTTTAAATCTCTGCATTGGAATACTTTAAAAAAAAGTCATTTTTCCTTATGTCTTCAGTAATTCTACAACCATAATGTATTTTGATGCTAGAAGGCTTTGATTATTTTCTGCACAACTTGGGTCTATTCTAATTTGGCAAATTTTAGCACATGTTGTAAAGCATGCACCAAACATATTTTATTTGTGCTGCCTTCTCTGGGCAACATAGAAGCTCTCCTCCAGAGCATGCAAACATAATGGTGCTTTTCCCTGGAATTATAATCACGTCTCAACATATATTGTGTCTACTTTACTAATGTCTTACCCTTAAAATAGGTTCACATGTGCATAGACTCTCTCCATTGTCTTTTATTACACCATAGTGCCTCCTTCTGGCCAAATTTTTTTGGCTCACTGGTTAAAACCTAACTTTAAAAAATGCAGATGCAGAAACTTTACCCACAATCACTCATTAATTTTCTGACTGTAACATGTCAGTTAAAATGAAATACAGAGTGATTCATAGATTGTTTTTGATAGATCTTGTGCTGTATTTAAAGAAGTCAAGCAACTACCTTTACCTTTCATCGTAATGAAATCTCAGTATTATTGGAGAGCAAAGTTTAGATGGCACATTGAATTTGTGAGATGACCGGCTACATTTTCAAGTTTGGCTACAACAATCACCATAAAGCAACCTTAAACACATTTGACTGAGACATAATCACAACCCAAACCCACTAAGAGGCAGTAATGCACATTTAGCCAATTGTTTAGTAATATTTTTGGTAATTTTTTACATTTGGCACCCCGTAGCATAGCGTCATTGTATGATAAAATGCTCCACCCATACAAATTATGTGATGCTCAGTTATAAGGCTATACAGTTTTGTTTTTGTTTTTTTTTACTACTTTCATCAAACATTAAAAATCAAAGTTAGGGTATTTAACAAATTATAAATTATTTTCCCAGATGTAAAAGCAAAGATCTGCTGCTGCAGCTCCAGCTCTTCCTTGGCAGTTTATGCAGCTGATGTGCAGCTGATTCTATGTGTGGTGCATCAGATTCAGCTTATACAATTAAAAGTCTTCAGTCTCCTCTTTAATATCAGTTGCTGTTACTAAGGTACAATAGTTACTCATCAGCGTGTTGCTTTTTATTAACATTGTAATAATGACCCTCAGTTGACTTGTTCAGATGCACCTTAATCTTGGTTCACTTAGGCTCCTTCTGTTGCACAATCATCCAGACAACCAGCGATAAATGGGCCAACTGAGACAACAAGACCAGAATGTCCATTTCCTTTTTCATCTGCCGTTGCTTAGGTCTCACTATTTTCTCTAGATTTTAAAAGGTTTGTTTCAGGAAGTTTGTTTAAAGGCTTATTACAGACTTCATTATCTATAAACTATAATTTCCTTCAGTCTATCTGCATACACACTCTGTTAGAGGTGTCTGTGCTAAAAGGGAAATAAAGCTGGTAATAAAGGATATATGCATCTGATCAATGTAAAAATATATATTTTTTTAAATCTACCCAAAATCTAGTTAATAAAGGTGTGAAAAAAATTAAACTAATTTGAGTGACAGTCACCTTTTTGTATTTATATTGAATGTTTTTCCTTTTCTGCTTCACAGCTGTCCAAAATATATTTTTTGGTTGTGATTTGGAAAAAACAAAGTTTTATACTCAAAGGTGTTTTACCAAAACTCATCAAGTAAATTATTCTAAAGCTAAATAGACATATTGTAGCCCACCTTGGGTATTCCCCCTTTCTTCAGGATGTCAGTCAGGAGCGACATAATCTCTACGTAGCAGAAACTGTCATAAGCCTTCATCCTTAGGAAGGAGGCACAATCTCCTCCCAGCCTCTTAAGATGCTCTTCATCTTGCTTGCTGAGTTCTGCGCCTTCCAGAACATGTTCAGCAAAGCGATGCAGAAGATGACGGAACTGGAAGTTGTTGACCTGGCTTGGATCAGGAGCTTTGTAGACGCCTGATGTTATGGTTTCTTTCAACAAGCTCAAGCCCGTTTTGTTCAGAATCTTGTTTCCTGGAGAAAGAAAATATACAGAATGAAATGCTAACTTAGTCTTCTTTTTGATAAAGATGTGATTTTAAATTATGGAAAATATGTTTCTTGTTTTTATTGGTTACATATTGTATGTTGGTGGATGGTCATTTTAGTTTTTCATAAAGTCAGGTTGATATTTTTACAGTAAATGTTTCATTTACTGATGTATAATCTTTGGACAGACAGATATTTCAGTCAGGTGGTGGTTTCCTACGCTATACTTTGCATTTCTTTGCAAGTTATCATACAAAGCTGCTTGCGGAACCTGAACCTACGCCTAGTTCTCTGCAAAATTTAAAATGTGTCATAAATTTTTATAAATGATACATCAACTAATTGACTGTATTGTGCAATAACATACCTGAGAAATCCTTCATTGGGTTTTTCCCAGCGTTTGTTGCAGCCCAGTTCCAGACATGTCCCCCAATCACCAATCCTCCTCCCTCTGCCACAAACTTCTGGATGGTCTCAGAATCTACGCTACTGTATGGTGGACACACAAACACGCTAAGATCCTGTCTGAACTCTGTGGTCTCACACTTTAACCCCAAGTTGGGTAAAGTCTGGATGCCCTGCTCAAATCCAACAACTCCATTCCTGCCCTGGTCCAACCAATGGAATGCATTCTTCCAAAATGATGCCAGCTTCTATAAATGCAGGTAGAAGTTGATTATACAGAGAGAAAAAAACACACTTTTCTTTTTTTTTTAACTGAGGTGTCTATGGAAAAAAAGTTAAATCACATTCTAAATATTGAAAGTTTACATTTTATTATAAAAGTGTGGGAAAAAATGGGTAAACTATAAAACCGCACCTCGTGTTGTAAGAAGCCCTCATGTGTCACCAAAATGACGCGTCCCCGCCCAAAGTGGGATCCTGCAAGGAACGCCTCTCCCTTATCCGTGGTACAGATGGGAAAAGCTAGGGGACCATGGACCAGAGCTGCAGAGGCAATTGATCCACCCTGGATGTCAAACTCTGAAATCCCTTTCAGCAAGAAATCCAGATCTTCTTTAAAGTCCAAACCACACCTGTCATTATAAGAAGGCAGAGGTTTGATACATGAACGATTTTTTTTAATACTTTCCAAATTGTGTTGTGAAAAATTTCCAAAAATATGGATTTTATAGCACAATTTACAAATGAAAATAAGATGAAAAATTAACTTTCAGTGAAGTCACGGTTTACACTTACCGTACAGCTTTCCAGGAGGTTGGGATCTCAGGGTAAATGGGCAATTTTTCTGCTTTTCCGGACTGAGCAGAAAAGTAGATTCCTGCCACTGCTGTAACTTTATTCCCTGGAAACTGAAGGATCGGGTTTTCTTTTGGGTTCTGTGAAGCCCACGACAAAGCTTGCCCACCGATCAGAATTCCTCCACCTGCTTTCATGAAGGCTACCAGGTCTCCTGCTTTTGTGCCCACTTCATAGGCATCTGTTACGTACACATCGACTCCAAGATCTTTACTAAATTCCTCAACGACACTGACTTTGTAGCTGGAACTGCTGAGGTTATCAGCAACAGCCTTCCTTTTTTTCTGCACCCCCAAAGACAGATTTGCAGACTTTCCTCCTCCCAGCCAGGTCAGAGCATTTTCTACCAGAGCAGGACAGAGGGTCAGGTAGGCCTCATGGCTCAGGACCACAATTCTTCCTCTGCCATACACAGAGGCAGCCATGAGGATGTGGCCATGGCTGTTTATCCCTAAAGGAAAGGCATCTCCTGTCAGCACCAGGTTACAAGGAACACTGGAGTGCTGAAGGTCCAACTCCTGGATGCCTTTGAGCAGAGCCTTGTAGGCATCCTGAGGATAAGACTGGGTGGACATGATTGCAGGAAAAATTATCTGCCATTTAGAAAAATAAAGCAAAGATTAAAATAAATCATGATATCAAAACATCCTGTTTACTTTACATGTGAAACAGAACAAGAAAAGTGCTTTACCTGAGAGGGACTTTGGTATGTAAAAAGAGTAAACCTGTCCTGCAGCTCTGAAACCAGCTCCCCAGTGACAGTGAAATAGTGGAAACAAGGAGACATCTGCTCTATTTTATAAGCTAGACAGAGCAAAAGGGGAGGGGCTTCAGTCACCATGTAATCAACACATGACTGAGAGCCTTTCCTTTTATGCTTGTTTAACTAAACTGTGCTTGGTTTTTTTTTTAGTACAAAAACTGAACTAGGTCGCTAATGACAATTTATTTACACTTTATCAAATTAAGTATGTATAATTTATTATAGAACCACATTGTGTAATTGATCAAATATAAATATATATCTATATAATTTTATTTACTCTTTAACAAAATCTTTGCTTAGGTCATTGAGCCCTCAATGTGTATTTCAATGTAACGAGTTTATTACAGTATAGGAGCATCTGGGGCTTTGGGTCTCCCGGCGCTGGACTCAGTGCTCTGGGGGGGAGCGCCTCTTCGGCTCTTCACAACCACTATTGAGCATTTTTTCTTTGTATAAACTTTACATGCACAGGTGCACTTTCACCAACAACTACAGGTGCTTGGTTCCAGGAACCTAGAGATTCACTTCCATACAGAAACCCCATATTCTTATCTTCAGGTAACTCAGAATACATGTCAGCGATCGTATCTAGGTGTTACTTTATTGTATGTCTCGTACCATGTCCGTTGGTTTTGCTGTTCTTTTTACATACCTTTGCAGGTGATGAAGCAGACTGAAAATGTTTCATCATTATCTCCCTTTCATCTCCTCTTTCTTTCATCTTTTCTCCTTTTTTTCTGCTTTTCCTTTCCTGTTGTTTCTGTGTCCATATAATCTGTAAAACTCCCTGCATAATTAGAATAAAGCAATTTATATGCATAAAACAAGCGGAACAATATGGCGATAGCCGTACTGCTCCACTTGTGAAAATAAAATCTGTTGGGCTCTTTTTGGCATCAAGACAATTATTCTTATTGCCAGACAGGACACTGTTAAAAAATAAATAAAACAGTATAGGAGCATCTATATTCTCAAAATCACAATATATATTTGATATTGCTTAATATATGTTGGATCTAACTACTTACAGAAAAAGTAGATGTCACCAATTTCTTCAACGAATACATAGTTAAACAAAAACAACAATATGAAGAAAGCCAGCAAAAAATCTAACCAAAGAGAAATTAGGGATTATTTAAATTGAATAATATTGTGTGTATCCATTTCTGGAAGATCAACTCAATATTTTCTTGCTTAGTTGGGATTTTTTTAAAACTGTGTTGAATCTATGGGAGAGTTTGGATGTTAGCAGAAACAATAGTATTAAAAGAAAGGAAGGTTGTTCCCATCTGCCAGATTCCATTACCAGAAAGTAACCTGAGACAAATTGACGCAACCTTTAACTTTTGACCTGCGTCTTGCACCACCTCTCAATAAACTGGTCTGGGTCCCTGGACGGGCTTTTCTGAAAAATGGAAACAATACTGTATCTGTTGAACCATGCTTCAGGGTTTTCTCTCCAGGCCCTGGTTTTTTCCATCTTGCAAACAAACAGCATCAACAAATAGCAGAATCTACTAAACTCTGATTTCAAACTTCGTTTCTTTGACTTTGGACAAACATATCTGGAGACATAAAAAGATTTTAAATAAAAATCGAGGAGTACTTGTATCCTT